TTTTAATGACAGTTCGGCCGACCTTTGCTAACTCTCGTTTTTTTATTCGTCATTAACTTATTGCCTTCTCTCTACCAATTACAACTACAACGCACATCATAAATTTTTATAACAATCTATAAAGTAAAAAAATAATGGAGGTTCGTATTTGATAGTGGATTGCTCTTTTGACGTATTTTCTTCTTCTTTTACTGACGTCTCCAATAAATTTTCTATATTTCTAGCAAGCGTGGAAGATTGTAAGTATTTCAACTATTTATTTCAATATAAAAATAACACAAAAACAAATGGCTGCTGTGTAATATAAAAAACAACTCGAATGAGAATTAATCTCTCTTTTAATATCTTCATTTATTGTGTGATCTTATTATATGGGCTTCATCAATCAAATCAAACATCATTTTTCTCATCCATATTTTTTCTATATTCGTAGTCGAAAAATAGTGCTAGATCAGGAAGTCCAGCGAATAGATCTGTGAATGGAAATGCGGAGTCTCATAGTGGAAAGAACAGTCCATCGCCTTCATCAAATTCTCCGACAACATCGGCCGCAAATGCGCACAACTGGAAAGTAGTTGGAAGTCCACCAACAAGAGTGATCTCCTCTGTTCCACCAAGCCCTGAAGATTATCAAAATTATCATACTAAGAAGATCGAAGAAGAAAATCAAGAACAGAAAATGCGTCGACCTTCAAGTACTCCAAGCACGCCGCAACGTCCCATTAATGGTAATACTGAGTTAACTTCAAGATTGCTTGCTTCTAATTCTCCGTCACCACCAACAAAAATGCAACAACTGCAAAATACTGCAAATGGAAATAACGACAAATGGGGTACTTTAGGAGGACTTCAGTGGCCTGGCATTTGGAATGAAAAGAATCAACAACAAAATTCTGGTTCTAGCTCTAAACCGGTTTCGCGCTCATCTCCAACTCCTCCTCCCTCCTCCTCGAAAAACGAGGAACCCAATCATAGCAATTCTCCATATGAACGAGAAATCGGATCACCGCCAGGTATTGGAAAATTACCTGTACCTGTTCCACCTCATCCACAATATCGACAACATCGAAGTTCTTCATTTTCTGTCGGTCAACATGACCCTGATCTATTTGGATATGCGCCTACGTCTCGTCGCGAGAGCGAAGGCGGTCTAAGATTAGCTTATAATCGACATTCACTTGCCCCCACAATGGAAGAAGATACCGATGAATTTACACCATATGGTGGTAGATTCCGTGCACGATCTAAATCCTCTGCTGCAGCATATGGAATAATCTCTGGTCACCAGGATATTCCTCATGAAGACTTAAATGATTATCGTCGAGAATCTGAACAATATTCAGATTCAGGAGCACTTTGGAATAATCATGTCCCCCAAAATGATGGCCCTATTCTTCATCACCGTCGCTCTGTTCCTTCTTCATCCGAATTTACTGGAATGTGGGATAACTTTAATTCATCCGCACCACCGTCGTCTGCTTCTGCCTATCTAGCTGTTATGGCTGGAATGCCAGAGCGGGAAAAATTGAGACAACGTCGTTTCTCTTTGCAAGCGCCGACATATGCACCTGACTATCATCTACTTGACAATACTCAAGAGATACGATTGCTCAATCATCGGTAAATTTCGGTTATATTTTTTAGTGATATATTCTCATTTATTTTCTAATGAAAATTTTTGATGATTATTAGTGCTGCTGCGATGGACCCAGGATACGCACATCTTGTCCAAAGACGTCATTCAGTCGCTGGTCCTGCGATTTCATTTAATCCAAGTCCTCAGGCTCGTTATCTATCTGATGCATTAGAATCTCTCCATTTGAATAATGTTCAGCCTGTATCATACACAAATGACACTAGTTACTCGAGTATCCCCGAAGACATTGACGATTATTTCGATAACAATGAACAACGAACTCGAGCATGGAATGAACTTGGAAAAGGTCTTCCACTTCATGCTATCCCAACTCATGGACCTCTGTATCTCGTGGAATTTAAAGCGGGCCGCACCGATTTATTTTATGTAGCTGAAAACAGTGGTGCAGCAGTCAAGAAAGGTGATCTCGTGATTGTTGAAGCAGATCGAGGCAAAGATTTGGGTAAAGTCACCAATGACTCGATTACCCCACATCAAGTACAACTATTACAACAGCAACAGGCAGACGCCATGACTGATGGTCACCGTATGAACAAAGAAATTCATCCGAAACGTATCTATCGCCTTGCTCAACCTGCTGAAATTACGATGTTGGTGACAAAGAATCAGGATGAAGCGAAAGCAATGTTAGTCTGTCAAAATAAAGTTCGTCAAAAGAAGCTTCCAATGGAAGTTGTCGATGCTGAATATCAATGGTAAATATTATAGTCGCATATTTGATGGTTGTTATTATTATCGTATAGATCAAATTTATTGATTCCGTTGTATCTTAGGGATCGACGCAAGCTTACATTCTATTTCATCGCTGAGCGTCGTATTGATTTCCGTGAATTGGTGCGAGATTTATTTAAAATCTACAAAACTCGTATTTGGATGTGCGCTGTTAACCCGTTAATGAATAAACCCAAAAAATGAACATATTAATAAAAATTTTTTGGAGATTCTTCATATAAATATATAATTAGATAACGGAGGAAGGCTTGAATTCTCGTTTAGACTTATATAATAATTGTCAATATATATATATATATCTCTCTCTCTCTCTCTCGAATTCCCGATTCTCTTTTTAATATATGATCAACATCATCATTCTACTTTGAAGAGACGTCAGGGACGACTTTTTGTTTAATATATATTTATAATAGCATTTAGAAAGAGAATATTACTATTATTTTATTACTACACTATTATATTTTATTTTATTCTATTATATACAAGTTTGTTGTTTAAACTTGGATAACAAACGCGCCGTAAATTTATTAAAATATTTACCTTTTCTTTGTATCTATATTTTTTTTATTTGACCCTTTTTTTTTACTCTTTTATTTTATTTGCCATTTCTCGAAGCCGCCTCTTTTACATAGCTTTCACATTTCATCATTAACATCATAAGATCACTTTCTTCATGTTCTCTCACTTTGTTGGTCACCGTGTGGACTTTCTTGACCTGATCCTTTTCTCGACGCGTTACCAACATCTAAATGACATTTTTTGTTCTATAAATAATTCTATAGCAAATTCATAAATATAACAATCACATTTACTATTACTTATTATTACTACAAGTTACAACTACTATTATTATTGGTTATTCACTCTCTCCTCTTTCTCTTCTCTTTTTCCCTCCTTTGTTTCCCAACCAAAAATCAAAGATTTTTCATCAAGTAGAAATTGTAGAAATATATACATACAAACATACATACATACATTACATATCTATACATATACATATATAGATAGATGAGCGAGAAAATTTGGTATATATTTTTTTATTATATTTTTTAATTTTCTTTAATGGTGATTTTATTAATAATTGTGCATTGGTTGGGAATCATGAGAAGAGAATACATATGGTGATTGTGTGAAGTGAGATTTTGCGCATTATTATCATATCTTGAAATTTTCACTCACGTTTCTCACCAATAATAATAATAATAATGATAATAATAATAATAATAATAATAATAATAATTAATAATAATAATAATAATTATTGTTAAATATTGTATCATTTATATGCATAAACCATAAGTTATGCGATCTTTTTATATAATTACATAATCTTCTTTTCTTTTTTGTATGTGGACAATCACTCACAATATAAAGACATGTTTCATAATATATATATGTCTATATATGTATATATATATAAGCATCATTATTTGGGATTAATCGATTTTGAATTTTTTTTAGAATAAATAATTTTGTAAAATCTAAATGTCCGGTTTTAGTTATATTGTGTAAAAAACTATTGACTTTTTAAAAATATGATGTGGCGTCTATTAATCCTGAAACGGTGTTGGCATCGTTATGTAAGTCTAGTTGCCAGCACTAAATTCAATAGACGAAAATTCATTCTTGCTTACGCGTGAATTTTATTATGGAATATTGGATATTATACGAAAAGTTGATGGCAATCAATATTAATCGAGAAATTACATATTGCGGATGAATGTTTCTTCAAAGCTACCAAGAAAGACAAGCTATCCAATAGGAAAAATTAGGTCTCAGGAGTGTAAAAATTCCTAAAAAAATGCCAATTATCAAGATGAGGGTCGTGATTATCGAAATATTCGAATTATTCGGTTGTGATGATGATGGTTGATAGTTTTGTTCTGAGCAGCAAATCGAATTTTCTGATTCAAATTCTTGATATTCGTCTGATTCTTCATCATTACTTTCAGAATCGGCTTCATCGTAATAATGTAATTTTTCGGCTTCTTTTAATAAAGTGCTGACATTGCAATAGAACTTTCTGTTTGGTGGTTTAAATAAATTTTTGGGTGAGGAGGAGGGGGAAGGGGAGGAGGAGGATGATGATGATGATGATGTATTCTCGTTGTTATTATTGATATTCCGCATATTTTCTTCTCCAGAATTGCTTTCATTTCGGGGATGATTGACGTGAAATTCCATAAACTATCACAAATTAACTGTTGTGATGATAAATTTCCATTTTAAGTGAGACTAAAAAAGCTGCGTAGTTTGAGTAATGATGACTAATCTTCGTTTTCAAATTTTCACATAGAAAACCTTTATTCGTGTGAACTAAGTAAGCATTATCTGGTTCCTCTAGTTGTCGCGGAACAAGCGGCTTGAACTTTTTCTAACAATCTCGATAAACCGAAGTAGTGGGAACATTAGTTTTGAAAACATTCGGTAATAATTGACTTAAATTTTGAACAGTTGCTTGCCACGCTGAGGGGCACACATTATTGAACTTTGTAGAACATTGTTGATCATTGTTTTAAAAAGCGGAACTACGGAAATTGAGTCTACAAAAACAAGAATAATGACGAGGTTAGAACCTCTATCGTTTTTAAAAATTCGCAAAAGTATATATTAAAGATTCACATGTTTGAATATACTACTAATTAGTACATTTGTATATAATTTGCTATTTATTACATCGTATTTGAAATAGCATCTTTCATATTATCGCGAATTGATTTATCCAGAATTTTGTATATAGCTTTGCACCCCTCCGTTGCTAAATTCATGACACTTTCGAATTTTTCGACCTGCAGTCGTGATTCCATCTAATTAATTTGTCTGATTAATAAGTAATCCGCGAGTAAAGGTTAATCGATTCACGAATTATGAAGTCAAAAAAGCAAAACCTGTAAGAGTGTCACTTTCCCAGACTTGGGCAGAATTGCAACCGTAAGCTCCGGACTGTCTGATGATTCTTCGGTGTTGTTCAGATCTAGATTCAAGAAATTAATAGGCGAAAGGGAAAAATTCGTTCGATCAATATATTATATGACCCTACCTAATACAGGCTCATTTTCAAAGTAGCCTGCCGTGCATGCACAAACGTAATCTCTCATAGGCACGCCTGCATCTATGAGAGCCATTGTTGCAGCGTTAATACAAATTTGTACGGTTCCTAAACGAATGAATTTTAGGTTAATATTCTCTCTGAAATCAATACCAGTTCGCTAGAGAAATAAAAAGGACGTTACCTCCATCGAATTGTAGTATCTGCAAGTAGATATCAATTTGTGACCTTGGGAACAGATTTGCAAGAATTACCGGCTCAAAAGTTTGTTTGACCGCCGAGGCAATCTCTAGAATACGTCTAAAACAAAAATCAAATATTTTAAAATCATAAGCATCGGATCTTTTGTAATGCATTTGTGTAATTCGCACTTGTCAGTCTTTGCTCTTTTCTTTCTCTCGCTAGTCGAGAATGGCGCGTAGCTAAGTTCAACATTGATATTAGCTTTATCATGTATTATTTGCGATTTCAATCGAGGCTAATGTTTACACAAGAAAAATGTAAGTTTGTACATAAAACCCGGTAATTGCAAGAAGCAGAAGAATCAGATTAGAAATATACCTCACGAGGTCCATAAACCGCAGCTAAACATTTGGTGTTTCCTTGTTCGATATAAGCAGAACCATCCGCTTGACGTAATACGGACGGTTTACACTTTATCTTGCGAAGTTCAGTTACACGACGTCCATCGATACGTAGACCTTATATAAGCGAGAAAAAGTACGACACCAAAATTGAAGACCATGTTCCGAGCATCAACAACTTTAATATTATTACCTGCTGGATTTAATAATTCTTGTCGGGACTTGGAAAGAGCATAAAAAAAGATTTATACATAAAAGTAAAGGGATTATCAAAAAATTAAAGTGCCGAGCTTACTCACCATTGTTGGACTCGAAAATTGGGGGAAAATCTTGCCCTCTTTTTCGAGGTTCTCCATTCTTTCCTAAAGTGGTTAGCTTGTTTCGTAATCCGGATCCAAAGATCGATATAAAAACTGTGATCATGTCACCTCATCGTTTATCGTTATTCAAAATGACTAAAATTACAGAGGTTACTCCATTGGAACTTAAAGGCGAAACGAAAAAGCCAACTTTAATTGCAGCTCGTCCGGTTATTACAGTGCGTGAGGCGCTTAAGACGCTCGCCACTCATAACATTACCTCACTCCCTATTTACTCTCATAGCTCTAACAAGATAGTCAACATTGTGAATCTTGTTGATATATTAAATTACATTGTAAAGGAAGCTGTCGCAGACGAGAAGCATCCTATCGCAATGAACAGTGCCAAAGCAAATAATTTGGATAACACTATTGAGTCGGTAATGACTTTGGACGTTGATAGAGAGAGTTATCGTATTTTCGTATCAGACGCGCACGAAGGATTAAAAAAGGTAATCAAATTAGATGATAATGCATGCTCTAAATCAAACTTTCTTAAAAATTCTGTCCCATCGTAAATCAAGACTCTAGAAGCTTTTTCAAGAGGAACTCACCGTTCTTTGGTTATCGACTACACCGAAAAGACGCCGCCATATATTTTGACACAAACTGACATTGTACGATATGTACACAATCATCCTGAATCAGTACCAGGAATTGGCTTCGATGCATCTTTGCAATCTCTAGGATTGGGTCTGCGAGATTACAAAGTTGTTTCTGGGCACGTGAGCGAATCAGCATTGAATGTGTATAGGCGAATGGCCGAAAAAGATTTGTCGGGAATCCCGATTTTAGATAGGTTGGTTTATTGTATATTTTTATTAATTACGATCTAAATAAGGTGTGCGAATTTAATATATTCATAATTAAAACAGTGAGAATCGTCTAGTCCTGAGTCTCTCTGTTTCTGATCTCCGTGGCTTGAATTATCAATCTATCGATAACCTTATATTGCCAGTTCAGGAATTCTTGGAGGTATTTTTAATGATATTATTTTGACTATCACTCTCAAATTAATTAATTTACTCATTATTTATTTATTCGCAAATCAGACGCTTCCCAATAATGGAAAATCTCTCCATCCTATAACAGCTACACGTCAGAGCACTCTACGTGAAGTACTTGATCTAATCGTAGAAAATCACATTCATCGAATTTGGATTGTCGATGAATCTCAAAAAATTTTGGACGTGGTTTCATTATCAGATATCATTGAGAGTTTTGCAAAACTTTGATGCTTTTATCGTCTTCCCCTCGGGAGGATATTTATTTATTTTTTTAACATGAACTTAAACATTGTAAATTATTAACCCATGGCATTTGAATGGAAAATATTTTTTCACATCCATACACACATCTCTTGTACAAATATATTTATTTTTTTGTTTATTTTTTATTGTAAAAATAAATAACATTATTTCTATTTCTTAACTTTCAAAATTAATTATTAAGTGTATAAGAATTCTAAGTGAAGTTCTAAAAGTGGAATTTTTTTTAAAAAAAAAGGCGTCTGCATTAATTAATAAATTACACACAACCCTCTGAGACTCGTAATCTAATCTATATAATATATATACAAGCAAAAAAGAATATAAAATTAACACCATGTTCTATTATCCATAAGCCATCTTTATATTATCCCCCCTTATTATTAAAGATACCCAAGTAGTTTATCCAGCAAACAAATGTTTTTAACGTAACAATAGTAAATGTGATTGAAATTAATCAGTTAAACCTGCGTGTTGGTTGCACAATTCATATGTTGTGATTGAGGTTGATGTAGTTGCTCTGATTGTATGGTTGTCTGGGTAGATAACGATAAATTATTAAAATTCATAAACAGTATGTGTTTAAAGTGTGCTTACTATACACACCTCATCACATTCCGGCGGATCAATCCATCCGTTAGGCACCATACCTTATAGATCAAAATATAATATTTGCGTTAATGATTGTATAAATTGAATTCAACTTTTTTAATGCTTACATGGAAAATAGGTTCCAAGTTTTGCCGCTCGATTTATCCAACCTATGAGAGAGAAGTTTGCAACTTGAAAAAAATTTGAGACAAACAAAAACCGACATCCTTAAGAAATTAATTCTTACCAGGGGTAGATTTTCCTACAAGTCTCTTGCACAATTCACCTGAGAAATGATTACAATTTCTATGTATATAATGCAGATAAGTTTAAATACGGATCTTTTCAAATTTGTATTTAATTTAGAAGTATACCTTGTCAACAAGTTATATGTGTTCCCTCGAAATTCCTCCGACAATTCTTTAATAATCAGTATAACTTCTTCTTTTTCCAGTTCAGTGTAACCCATTTTTATTGATTCCCTATATATAATATAATCAATAAACCATGAAATCGTCTCTGTATTTTTCGGTAAAAAAAAAAACTACACAATTGCACTTACTTAAATGTGACATTAGGAAATCCCGCTTTAGGCCTCATTACGAACACCCCCGTGTAATCATATACATGCCCGCCGAAATTATATTCTGGTTCAAATATTTTTAATGAGTAAATTTTGACGCAATAGTCAACAACAAAAGGATATGTAAATTCAATTCACCTCTGCCTAATACCTCTACGCCAGAATGAAATATCCCTGAATTATTTGAATTATTAACAAAATGTTTGTATTTTGCATTTCAAATAACATACTAAAGAAAAGAATAACATATTTACACTGAAATAATGCATCATACCTACGCCTAACCTGTAACCAAAATCAGCGACTTTGCCTTTTGGAAGCTGCAAGAAAAACCATATATGAGACAAGATTTCAAACAAGCAGAGGATTTTTTAATATTTTCCAAATTACCATGTCATATACGTTAACGTAAACCTAGCATTTCAAAATTCGAAGGTGAGCAACATTGAATCCAAAAAAATATATAAAAAAAATTTCGAATAAAAAGATTTAGTATACCGGTATTTTCTTTGGTCCTTGGATGAGTGGTTCTATCGTAATATTAGTATTATCATTTGTGTCATTTTGAGAGATTGTTATAGTTGAGGAATTTCTATTATTCGCCAAACTTGTAAGGTTATGAAAGAAAGAACGTACAATATTATTAGGGAAGTGCATTGGAAAATAATAGCCACATTGATTTTATGAAGAGACATGGAAAATAAATCACAAATATATTAAAATTCAATTTATTAAAATGTGTATCGAAATACTCCTGTACGATTTTATTTTTTGATTTGCATCGTGTCTAAGATATAAATGTACAAAAGCAAATGCATGCAAGCATGCGTAATTTTTTTAACCATTCGTGGGTTTTGAATTTCTCCAAAGATAAGATGTAATGAAGATCATAGAGTTCTATTCTTATAAATATATTATTATATCATCATTAGTAGCAGCCAATTCAAGGATTTCTGTCAGCTGATGCGGAGGATTCCCCATAATTATTATTGTTGTCATCACTAGAAGTTATTGTTTGTACTTTTGACTCTACGAGCTGATCACTTTGAGGAGGTGAATGATCAATTTGATGATGATAAGATGTTGTCGATTTTCGTTTACGCTCAGGTGAGAGAGATAATGACCGTGAACGAGAACGGTGTCTGTTCATTGATCTTGTCTTTGTAGATTGTCGTCTCCCTTCCTCGTCATTGCTGTTTCTCCTATAATAATCTGACCGGGATGGACTATGGTATCGAACAGGACTACGACTATCTCTTCTAATATCAATAAAAAAAATATTTTTTAATTATAATTGGCAATATTTGATTAAGTTGAAATAATACCTCGGTTGATAAGATCTGTCTGGTGATGGATAATATCGTTGTCTTCTCGATGGACTGTAGCTGATCAAAATTAATTAGAAAATTTTCGATAGAAAAATTTTAATCGACCAAAAATTAAGGCGAAAAAAAAGACTCTACCGATTATAATAATTTCCTTTTCCTCTCATCTCGAGTGGGGCTATTAATAAGAGATAAAATACTTTAATCAGAAAATATGATGCGTATAAACTTCAAGAAAACATCTTTTGAGATCTAACTTTTGCGAGATCCGCGCGCAAACTCTACAGATAAATCTCGACCATGCACTATAAAAGCCCCATGTCGATAAGCATCTTCGCAATCGCGTTCATCATAATATCTTGAATAAGGAAAAAAGAAAGAAAACCCCACGAAAAGTCTTGTCAAGGACTGAATTATGGGAGAGAAAAAACGTGCATACGCGCGTCTTTAGCAATAATCTTGGATCTTGTAGTCCAATCCAGTAGCAGCAAAAGAAACAATGTCAATCTTTGCTTGCTTCTTGACAATTTCTTTATCTTGATCAAGGATACTCTATATATGCAAAGCCCCTAGGTTCTCTTGTGTAAAAGTCCCTTGGTATGTATACTGCGAACGATAAAATAACGATGATTAATCTTTACATGTTATTATGTTTAGAGAACATAAATATATAAATACCATCTTTCAAACGACCATATTCTCGAAATAATGGTTCAAGGTCGTCAATTCTGACCGCATTTCAATGAAACATAAAAGTTTGTTAATACGTGGGCAAAATAATAAATGCAAATTGTAAGGAGCAATTAGTTATACTAACGTTGTACGAGGTGAAAGTCCAGACACGAAAAGTGAGCGAGACATTCTGCTCAGTCCAGCAAAAGAATCGAGGGACAGGTTTAAAAAAAAGTCGCGTATAAAAAAATATTTGATAAATGAATGAATCACATGACGTGCTTATACTATCCAAAATCACGCGAGGATTTTTTCTGATAATTCTAAACGATCAAAAAACAGGCTTTTACTTTTATTCTTGTCTGATTTTTTTCATCTTCAACTATCCAAAAACATGGCAAATTTCAATTCTCGAACATTGTTACAACCGATCGCTGCCTTCTCGATGGCAGTTCTGCTTGGAATGTATGTGAACCATTCCATTAAAAAAGCAAGGCGAGATTCTCAATCCCGTCAAAATAGTATCTTGTCAGAAAAGAAAAGATAAAAGTGCCAACCGTCAAAAAACCGCCGAGTAATCATGATGATTTACGTACTCGGTTTCTTAGAAAAAATTCGCGAAAATGTTTTAGTTCGCGTTAATGTGCTAACATTAAAATCATGTATATTATCTTGTGAAACCATAGTAGGAAAAATGTAATTATGTTCAAAGTAATTCCCTTTATTAGACTATTTATTTTATTCAAAGAGATATATATACTCGATGTCTGTTATAATTTCTGCAAAATTCGCTCATGATGCCGTTTTTTTTTCTGGAGAACCTTTTCAATGTACAATCACGTTTACAAATCCTTTTCCTGCCGCTGATAAGAACAGCAATGCTTCTACAATAACAGGAACACGGTACTCTAACGAACTAGGCCCACCACCTCCTTTGCCCCCACCACCACCTAAATTTGCAAATGGTTTCTCTGCTCATCATAACGGGTCAAAAATTGATCCGAAACATCCGATTAAAAAGAGTATTCAAAAACAAGCGCAGAATGGAAAACCACTTTCAGTTATTGTTGAGAATCCCTCGACGCAAAATAGCCTTGCTGGCGATTTAGGGGATTCAGGGATTTTCGGTTTCAGGAATTTAGTAAAGAGATCAGCCTCGTTGACCGCCATAGCTTCTTCCACATTCTCTTTACTGACGGGAATAGATTCGGGACCTGCATCCCCGACTTTTCCTCCCTCTACAGCTTCAACGACAATTTCTTCACAAAACTCCACCGCCACAAGAACGGAAAAAGTGGAAATGGAGATTATTTATGATCCGCAAAGACAAGATAGTAAGATCATTGAATTTTATATAAATGTGATATTTAATACATTATTATTGACATATATGTTTCAATGCAATTTTTCTGAAAGTCAAGGCTCCATCTCATTTAGAAAATTATTCGGACACTGACACAGAAACGGACGATGATTTTGGATTCATAAATTTACGGAAAGCAGACGGGGCTGGTAGTGATACAATGTCCGTAGATCTAGATACACGAGAATCAACGCCACGCAGTTCAGTGGATTTTTATGGGCTCGGGAATAATTCAGAAAGGAATTGGGCTGGTGGTGGTAACGGTGGAAATGGTTTCTATGGAGGAGGAGATAATAAAGGACAACATCAGCAGAATAAAAGATATAGCACGATGTCGAAATGTAACTCCTCACCATCTCTAACACAAAAATATGAAACATTATTATGGAGCTTTGCTCAAGTTGTTGGACATTTTATAGTTGATGGTTCGTTAGTTAAATCGGTTGAATTTGAACCGTTAAAGCATAAGGCAATGTATAGACCTGCTAGTGGGGGAGGCGTCGGTGCTGGTGGAGCGGTTGGAGGTGGAATGCTGGGAATATTTGGCCCTAATTCGAAAAATCAGATGAACACGGGAGATTTTCAAGAAAGAGCAGGTTTATTTTCTACGAATTTATTAGGTTATGAGTAAGATTTTGTGTTATTTAATTCATTTTCATTTTTTTTATTAGATAATAAAACAGTTCCAGTTTTCTCAACGCCTCCTTCAATCTTATTTGTTGACTTACATCTAGCACCAGGAGAAACACGAACTTGTAATTATTTTTTATAGATTATTAAAATTACTTATCGATGGAGAATTTATTTATTGTTCTGTGATATTTATATGCATTTCCAGATACTTATGAGACAAAGTTGCCAAATGATTTGCCTCCTACACATCGCGGGAAAGCCATAAGATTTCATTACAATTTAATAATAGGGACACATCGAGGGGGAATGAATCATCAATCACATATTGTACAGTTACCGTTCCGAGTATTCAATCATGTCTCCGGTAATTCAAAAAAAAATTTTTTGTTCTATTGTTTGATGATTTATCACTGTATGTGTTTAATTGATTTAGATTTGATATCTTTTATCAGAGGACGGAACGAGACCAGTGTATGATCTCATGAATCCCCTAATAATATATAAAGATGAAGCGATAATAACGTGTATGGAGGATAAGCAGCCGTTACCTAAACCTGTAAAGAAAAAAAGTAATTTAAAAGAAAAAAAAGATTTGTGATTTCTGAAAAAGATAATTCATTAATATATTAATAATAATCATTTCCTCTACGTATAGAGGATAAAAGACGTGCAGAGTTTCTGGAGTACGTTGAGAAACTAGTAGAAGCTTCAAAGAATGAGAGAGAAACAAAAACCTCATCTAATAGTCACCATGACCTGAAATCCAGTGAACAGGAAGCTATTAGTGATAGACCTCCACAGCCACCACTATCTCAACATCATATTATTTTGGAGAATCAGCAAAAGTCTTGTGCGAATACTATTTCAATTTTGGCTAAAAACATGCGGAAAGGTAAACTCTTTTTAATAATCAGCATTTGTCAGGTATGAAAATCTAACTTTATTTTGTATTTCAGCCAATTACGATATTTGTAAGAATAACGAAAGAGTCGCACAATTGTGCCTTTTAAAGACATCATATCGGTTAGGTGATGTAGTTAACGGGGTCATAAGTTTTGTCAATTTCGTGATACCGAGTTATCAGGTATCTCATATTTCATGATAAAATTGAATTACAGTATTCTTTGACAATAGCTAAACGAATTCCCTGCAATAGGTATCTATCACATTGGAGAATAGCGAACTTGTAGAGCCTACTATTGCCAATCGTCCACAGCATCAGATTTCGCGGTTAACGCGGAAAATACATGGCGAACATCACGAATTCTGTCTGAATTCGCGTAGAATAAGTTTTTCCATCACTATACCGACATCCAGTACACCTGATTTTGCTACGACAGGAGGTAAGAAGATTTTCTTGTTACGGATCAACCAAATTAAAAAACTTATCATCTTCCGAATTTTTACATTCACAGTAAAATTACAATGGGGACTACGTCTCGAATTTATCACCGGCCCAAAGAATAAACCACCATTACTGGCATTCAATGCAGATGATCGTCATCAATATTATCAAGCTGTGTCTGAGGTTAATGTTGAAACGTTCGATTGTTTTATTCCGATTAAAGTGTATCCAACTTTATATGAATCCGCGCGGACATTTTCTTCACAACATACTTTTACTGTATCATAGTATAAATAATCTTCCTTTAATTGTTATAATATCCCCTCTAATCCAACCTTTCTTTTTCTGTATTAGTCACAAGAATTTTATTTAATCTTTTTGGACATTTATTTTAGATCTCAAGTCTTCACATTACACAGAGAATCCAATGATCTACAAAAGTATACATTACTTGTTAATTTATTATTTAATGATTTCAAAGATAATCATAATGTAGATATACTTATATAATAACATATATATATATATATATATATATATCCGGCCAAATCATGATTCAAATGAACAATGGCGTTTTTGCATACACTCGTCTTGCAATACTCGATATTTTAGTATCATCAGTCAATTAGTCATATAAATGCTTTTTTGGATTTATTTTTATTTAATATTGACTATTTACATTTTAAAAGAATCTGGCTATCGAGCCTAGCATTTAATTCTTATTTGATTTCGATTTCATGTCTTTTTGTTAATAGCTAGCATAAATAAAAGATTAGTGCCGAAATTATAAAAAGTATATTCGGTGTTACAGTGATGACAATCGACGTGACACCAATGCCAGCCAATAGCACAATGACTAAATGTTTTTTGTCACGTGACTTTGCTGCAACAGCGACGTATATCATGTGATTGCAAAATTACGGCTGTGCCATAATTTTGGTAGATCAACTTACCAACGCTTGCGTTGATCAACGCTAATTCAATGTTTTTCTGTGTGGGTTTTTACTTGAAAAAACCCCCCAAGCTAAATTGGCAACGCCAATTGACATCACTGCATACACGCAGCAACTTAAATTTCACTTTAAAACTACCTTACGTGGACACTTGCCGTGCCACATTTCTGGGATCTCTTAGTGCGTTAATAGCATTTCGCTCGGCCAATTGATTTTTTTCACAGATCAATTTGGCGTACTCTCTCCCATGCGCTAATTGTTGTTCGATAATTTCGGGCGATGGCTTTGTCAATGAAGACGATGATGTAGATGTAGATGTTGATAATGTTGATGAAGATGATGATGAAGGTGCCGGTGATGGCAAGTCACACGAATCTTGTGTAGCCTTTGTGATTGACGTCAATCTACGAGGATCTATTTTTTTATAAACTTCTAGTTTCTCTTTTAAATTTAATATCAAAGTAGATTCACGATCATTGTTTATTTCATGTTTAAATCCTTTGTACTCTTTTATGAATTCATACTATTGTTATTTATTTAAAAAATCGGATTATTTTAAGAGAATCAAATTTTTTAAACAAAGACAAAAAAACAAAAGCAATACTTACATACAAGTCATCAAATGATATTGTACTACCATCCTGTTCACCTTTTAGACTCTGGAGAAACACACTCCCAGCATTGTCCATTTTTTCCAATGTCTCACTGACATCTTCACCAGATGTGCTCGTGGACGTCAAATTTTGTGGGGAGCGCGGTGGCGTTGGGGGTGTGGATTTCCGTTGTGAATTCTGGACAAATTCTTTTATATTCTCGTGCAAAATGATGCTCTTAAGTGGATTCTTTATTGAATGAATCTCTTTGACATATGCTGTGTCAATTGATTGATAAAAATCTTTTACAAACAAACGAGTTTTTATTCCTTGCAGTAAAATCATGCCAAACTCTTGTTTAACATGATTTTCTTTCAAATACGGAATTCGTCTGATACAAAAATCAGACTCTCCGTCTTTTGTGCATGGGGCGATTTGCTTCCTCTGACAATATCCTGGCGCATAAGGAAATTCATCGTCAAAACTATATAAGATATAATGGGAAGAAATTTGATAAATAATTATTTACGTGTTTCCCTCGAGGAAATTTTGCATTTTTTTTCTCCCTCCTTACGGGGAGAAGCATTGCAAGGGGGCATTTTTACCAAATGACTTACGTGTTAGGATAGTCTACCTCGATAAATCGGAATAGACGTTCCTAGAAATAAATTTTTTAACAGGGTTACTTTCTTCACATTTACAAGAAATAGTCTCCTATTCTTGTCTCCTTACCATTACATATAAGCGTGTTATTTGTTAGTTATTCGTTATCGGATAAGCTGGGGAAGACTGGGTGTTAAATAAAAAGGGAAGAAAAATAGAGAGATTAAGGGATTACATTTTTTTCCTGTAGTCGCGTTCAATTTATAATGAAATCGCGTGTGTCAAAAAATCAATCATCATGATGATAAGAATGATTTTATCTAGCATAATTTATTTTATTATTTCTATACATCAAACTTGCTATCACCCCCTTACAGAGACAATTGAATAATTTTTCTGTAAACACACGTAATCCTTTCTTCATTGTTTGACTAATCTTATAAATATTATAAATATTATAATAATAAGAAATGATAGTATCATGCATTATTATTTAGCTTTCTTGTGTGAAACTAAAATTATTTATTACGATTCATTAGATTCGTTGGATTAGTTATAACTTGATTTGGCGAAGTGCGTTTTTCCCAAAACTATTCGTGTCTCAGATAAAATTAAAAAATTAACAGACTGACTGACAAATTGACAGACTCTGACTGACACAGTATAAACGTAGAAAGCAGGCAGGGTTGTTGCTTACATTGCATATTCGAGTTTTTAAGGAAAGAAGAGACCGCTACGAATCTTTTTGGTAATACGACACATGTTAACGAAAAGCTAAATCTCTTTTCGTTAAGAATCATTGGTGTTTCTGATTCAATAAAATAATATTTTCTCATCCTCAATTCACACTAAAAAAAAGGTTGCCGATCATCCTGAAATCACACCATTACATATCTGTGACTCGGCCTCCGAGGAATGGGCCCTAACGATTGTTTCCTATTCAGTTTGACACAATGAATTGAATTTTTTGGTGTGGCGGTTAAAGAAAACCTGCCACAATTCCAGTTTAGGGTTGCAGTCCTAATTACGGCTATAAAAAATTGTGTTGCAACCTAAGATAAATTCCATTTTTTTTTTAATGCCCATGAAATAAAAGCACATGACATTTACTCAGGACTAATTTATAGAAGAAAAAAAGGGCTTATTCTTAGCACCTAAAAACTTTACGATAAATAATTAAAATTCGTTTATTAAGGTTGAGCTTTGATAATTGGTTTTGATAAATCTGTAAAGGAAAAAATCGAGTCAAATGACAATCACAGAAAACAACAAAAACGACGAATAAGAACTATCTATTTACCTGGACCGTTACCCATTGGTACAATCCCAGTTGGATTTATTTGTAAGTGACTTTGATAGTAGTGATATTTGATGTGGTGCATGTTGATCGTATCAGCAACTATTTTAAAAAAGTAACCCGTTTATAAATTACACTTTTTATAAGAGTTATTATAAATAACAATCAAATTACTTTTAGGAATTTGGTAAATTTGACGAGCCCAACGAAGAATATTTGGATAGTCTTTTTCGATGGATTTCAAGTTTGCCTTGAAGTGGCCGTGATAAACTGGATCAAATCTATTAAGAAATATTTATAAATAATGCGAACATTTTTCTGACTGTTAATATATTTAAATAGATATACCTTATAATAGTGGTCCAAAGTCTAATATCAGCTTCGGTCAAAACACCACCAACCAAAAACTCATTTTTGGATAAAATATCTTCTAATCGATCCAAAGATTCGAAAATCTTGTAGGCGTTCTGTTCATCTACAAACATAAAAAAAATAATATATTAAAATTGTCATTAAAGTGAGCAAATAGACTCGCTTTAACACGTACACGCTTTTTGAGTCGTAGCAAATCCAGCTTTATACACTCCATTATTCACCGTATCGTACACCCATTCATTAATCGCATCGATTTCGACGCGTAGATGTTCAGGGTAATACGTGATGCCTTTGGTTGCCTCGGGGAGGTAATCGTCGAATACTTCATTGAACATTCGGATGATCTCGCTCGATTCGTTGTTTACTGTCGATAATGAAATTATTTCTTGAATAAACTGAAGAAAAAAGAATTTCATTCTTATTCAAAATAAAAAGTTTACCGATTGTTCCAAGTTTTTTATCCCATAATACAGGAACAGTAAATCTAATCAAGCGGGAGACGAGTAAATCGAAATATAAATTTTTAAATTTCCAAAACTCAATTGAGAAAAACAAACCTTCCCGCATATTCGGGTTCAGCTTTAAAATATAATTCGCGTAAATACTGCGCATTATTTACAGTATCCGGAATGGCACCGGGAGTCTGTTCGTGAGTACTGAATTTCCACCCTTTTTCCTGCATCAAGTAGTCGACCACGCTTAGTCCGATGATGTCTTCGAGCCCTTTTAACGCTCGGACAATTAGTGTACGATGCGCCTATAATTTATATAATTAATGGTTTGTATTTATTCATGTAATAGCTTAAATATTTTTCATTTACCCAAGGACAAGCATAGCTAACATACAAATGATACCGATTTCTATTTTTTTTAAAAATTTTTAATATAATTGAAAGATGAAGTACGAAAATATTTATTAAAAACAAAATCACGTACAATTCGGGAGGAAATCGAGCATTTGGTTCCTTGCTGATAAACTCACGAAAACTTGAAGGTTTTCTACGAAATTCTCCGTCGGACGAAGCCCATTTAAGTATATCTTCCGGTTTTTTGGTACTAATTTTTGCCCAGATTAGAGATCAAATTAAAGATTCCAAATATTTTAGGTTGAACATAAAAAAACTTTGATTATGAACCTCTTATCAGAAGCCATTCTTATTAATTTTTTGTTAGTTGTTCTATTGAATTGATTTGTTAAATAACGACAAGAATTACAATAATTGCTTCTTTGACTAAGAACACGAAATACGCGACCAGGAAAAATCATTGTATAAATATGGGATTTTTGAGTTTGATGACAAATCCACCGTAGATGATCTTTACTATTTGGAGGAAGAATGATTTCAAATCATTTTCGCTGTGTGGTAGTAATATGCTTATAAATTCCATTAAGCAAACAAAACAAAAGTGCAACAGATCGATCGATGCTAAATTGTATATCTTTAACGTGTCTATCTCTTATCACGCGTCATTTATTAGTCGATCATCCCGTGAAACAATTGACGCGTCTTTTTTCACGCTTATATCATAAATATCATAATCAATTTGTCAAGCGTAAAAAAGAAGCTATGTCAACTCTACTTAAAATATATCAAATAAATAAAGTGAGCAACAAAAAAACATTGCAACCTCTAAATTTATATCGTCTGAGCATCAATAATTCGAATCATCATTTCAATCATAAAGAATTCGTCAATAATCTTGTGATACAAAATTTTCACCCGAAACACCAATCTTGTTCACCTGCATCATTATTATACCACCATCATTATCTATTTCCCAAATCGACCTTGTCTTCAATATCCACCTTAATTGCGACATCCAAAAATCAATCATCAATACAAAATCCTTTGATAAGAAGCTCCCTAACATCAAAGAATAATCGAAATCGAATCATAAAAATAACATGCCGCAATAGAACCACAACACGCGTCTCTGTTGCATCTTTACCAAGTATCTCGGAGAATTTTAAACAGATTGATAAAAGCGTGGATGATATAACAACGCTGTTGATGGAAGGCGTGAAAGACGTATTGAAAAAATACCCGCATTGCGTTGTGTTGACACAAGTTGGAGTTTTCTGGGAGGTAATCTCATGGATGATTTCTTTACGCCATCAATTATAAATTATCTAATAATTATATTTTTCATTCAATTAGCTTCATTTTCAGCAAGCAACAAAACTCGCACCATTGCTAGATATTAAAATAGGTAAAAGGAAAGTAAAAAAAGAGAAAGTACCGGTTGTTGGATTTCCTGTTCATGTATTGGATAAATATCTACAGATACTATTGGACGAAGGTCATTCGGTGGCCCTCTGCGCCGAAACACCAAACAGGAATGCAGAATACGGTGATTTAAAATATGTAAGAAATGTCACTCGCATAATTACACCGGGAACGCTGATCAGCGAAAGTTTTCTCGATCACAACAAGAATAATTTCCTTCTCGCAATCGCTTTGGACGAGTCATCACAATCCACTGGACTCTCTTGGATTGATATTTCGACTGGGGAATTCTTTATGCAAAAATCTTTACTCGTTGCATTGTCTAGTGACATTACGCGTATCCGTCCCAGCGAAATTTTGCTGAGTGACGTATTTAATCTGTTTCCGGAGCATAAAATATGGAATCATATCGATCGAGAAGAATATCCGGTTTCTTTTGAGCCGGGGAATACTTTCGATGCAAAGATCACCACGTGGGAGGCTGATTTGAAATCCGAGGGAATTGCGTTTGATGAAGTGTTTTCGCCGATTGAGATGAAAGCTAGCGCTGGATTGTTCAAATATATAGAGAAAAATTTGGTTGGTCGTAAAATTAGAGTGGATCAGCCAATTAGGGTTAATCCGGAGGATACAATGATTATAGATGCTACTGCTTTGGCTTCTTTAGAGATTACCACTTCAATGCGTGAAAATCGTAAGAAAGGGAGTTTATTACACGCTATCCAACGAACTAAAACTGCTTCTGGATCTCGCATTCTAAATCGTTGGCTAAGTGAGAATTTTTTCAAATAAATAAACATAGATTATATTCATATGATAAAGTTAATAATACTAATTTCATTGTAAACACGACATAAAGGATTACCATCAACATCACTAGATGTAATCACAACTCGCCAGGACTTGGTTGAATATTTCTACAATAATACACACTTAACCAGTGATATACGCGTTTTCCTGGAAGATTGCAGTGACGCACAAAGAATGACCCAACGATTATCGGTAGACTATGGGGGAATTGAGGATTACATCAAGCTGAAACGTAACATCAAATCAACAAAAGGAATTGAAAACCGTATACGGGAAGAATTACAGACCAATCCGAATAATTCCATGGAAGCTTTTATCAATCGATTACAATCACAAGATTATTTGATGAGTAAAATTGATAGCGCATTTAATGAAGAGACTTTGATTAAGATGCAGGAAGCTAATATCGAACTGAATGTTCCGTTGAACGCTAATGCTATTAATAATCCTATTAATAATAATGTGGACGATATTGATATTTATAATGAGAGTGATAATGATAATAATAATAATAATAATAATAATAATAATAATAATAATAATAATAATAATAATGATAATAATAATAATAATATCGATGATGAGAATAGAGAATCAATGCCGTCAATACGTCATAGTAGGAGGAGAACAAATCAGTATAAACCATTTTCACAAGCATCATCAACTTCACAAGAATCATTTTTTGACGATAAAAATACTGATCATTGGTATATTAAGAAAGAGTAAGAAGTCAAAGTCATCATATAACGATTAATTTTTTTTTACAGAAGATTAACATTGTGATTTCTTTAGATATTCGCCAACATTAAAAAAGTTGCATTCGAAGTTAGAAAATTTGTATCTCGAGAAAACTTCTCTTATAGAGCAATTGAAAAATGCTTTGGGTAAGGTTTTTTCCATTATTAAATTAAATAAGAAAATTGCTAACCAATTTAAACTTATATTTATTTTTTTTTTATTTGAGGTGTAACAAAAATTCTCCTATCACATACCCCTCATGGATTTGTTGCGACTATTAGTCGCAAAGAGGAAGATCAATTTCAAAAGGCTTCGTCCGTCCTACCTTTTTCATTATCAGAATTGAAACCTACCTTTGTGAAAAGAGATAAAAAATATGCGATTTATTTTATTCCGGTATCAATTCTTTGTATTATTTGACGATGTAAAAAGAATACAAAAGTTGGAATTAATTTTTGTAAATAATCATTTGGAAGCAATGGAATCAACTGGGTGGAGAAATTGAGAATAGTAAAACCGACATACGCAAATTTGAGAATAGAGTCTTTGCAGATTTACGAAGTAAGGTAGGAAATTCCATTCTTTTTTTTACGATTTATTTGGATTTGTAAGTTGAATCTTTATAATGGATCCAATCAAAAAAAAAAGGTGATACAAAACTGGAATCTTACCGTTCAAAATTCATGTATAATCGATGAATTGGACGTGACTTCATCGTTGGCCATATTAGCGAAGGAAATGAATCTAGTACGACCTTTGATCAATAACGGGTATTGATTGATTGATCTTATAAGCAATTGGAATAAAATTGCCGTACTCAATGTTTTTTAAACTAGAACGACTCTTAAAATTGTCGGTGGTCGTCATCCAATCGTCGAATCATCTCTTAAAGAAAATAATATCCCTTATACAAAAAATGATTGTCATATTGACGAGGATAAAGAACGGGTGTTGTTGATTACTGGGTAAAAACAATGAATTTTTTTTTCTTTGTTCGTATTTATTTTTTCGCTAATTAAGCTTAGTTACATGCAAATATAACTTGCATACAATTAGCCCAAACATGGGTGGCAAAAGCACTTTTTTACGACAAAATGCTGTGATTGCCGTATTGGCTCAGATCGGATCTTTTGTCCCCGCCGATTATGCAGAAATTGGAATTGTTGATCAGATATTTAGCAGAGTAAATTTCTCTCTAATTTGACACTTTTGATTTTGATGTTTAATTGGATCATTTTATTTGTAGGTTGGAGCTTCCGATAGTTTATTCCAGAATCAATCAACCTTCATGGTAGAAATGATTGAAACAGCTCACGTGTTGCAAAATGCGACACCACGATCTTTTGTAAGTATCAAAACATCCCTTCAAAAAAGGCATGTTCACTATCAATTCTATGCTCGAAAAACCTTAATCATTCTTTTAATCCAGGTAATAATGGACGAAGTAGGCCGAGGAACCACAACATTGGACGGGATCGCAATATCTTTCGCCTCGTTATATCACCTACACTACCATAATCGGTGTCGAACATTATTCGCCACACATTTTCACGAATTGTCGGAAATGATAAAGGATTTCGAGCACACTGCTTGTTATTGTACTAGTGTTGAAGCTCATAAAGTATTAATTAATATAATTGATTGCTTATTTTCATTTTCATATGTTATGCATTAATTTTGATTATTATACTTGAACACTTTAGGATGGTAGTTTTCATTATGTTCATCAATTGAAAGAAGGTGTTAACAAAACCTCATTTGCTTTAAAGGTTGCACAATTAGCAGGTAAAAATGTATTTTAATCATTTGATTATCTTCTATTTATATTATATATATAATCGATGAATCTTTAATTTCCTCGATACACAATTTTTTCTCCATTAGGAATGCCATCGTCAGTATTAAAAGTGGCAGAACACACATTGAAACATCTGGAACAACAATACAAGCCAGCAATCATCAGTATGGACTTTTTGAAGGAGTTGGAAGTTAAAGCGACAAAGAAAGAGGTGTTAACGGCGAAGACACAAAACGATAAAGAAGATAGTAATGAGGAAGTTAGGAAAGTGACAAAGAAAAGGAAGCTGACAGCAAAGACGCAAAATGATAAGGAAGATGATAATGAAGATATTAATGAGAAAGCGACAAAGAAAAAGAAGCTAACAGCAAAGACGCAAAACGATAAGGAAGATATTAATGAGAAAGCGACAAAGAAAAAGAAGTCAACGCAAAAGAAGTTAACGGAAAAGACGCAAGGTGAAGGCGAGCAAAAGAAGTTAACGGAAAAGACGCAAAGTGAAGGCGAGCAAAAGAAGTTAACGGAAAAGACGCAAAGTGAAGACGAACAAGAATTATTTAAGTATTTATTTATTTATTCATGTTTTAATTCATTTATGGATTCTAAATTGTAAATTAGAAATAGTGATCTCAATTTCTGGAATATTAGCAAAACTACTACTAGAAGTAAAAAAAATATCAAGAGCCTGCCTTCATCTACTACCGATGGCACATCGATATCAGCATCAATTTAATACTTTGAAAATTTCTATATAAGAAAATACTGGTTTCTGTGTATATGTATGGTAATCATTATAGTTTTTGAATAAATAAACATACGATTCATAATATTCTAATTGCGAACATTGAAATATTCCAAGGCATTCTTTCACAATGAAATATTGATAAATCTATATATTTTACCCTCCAGAAACAGGCGGAATAACAGCAACCTCGTCATCTGGTTTAATCTTCACTTCATTCTCATTTTGCTCTTTATCCACATACTCCATATTCACCGCGTACATGCTATGCTCTAGTATAGGTTTTAATCCTGGATGTCGTGTCAGTAAAAGGTTTGTAAGTTGTTTGATTGAAATTGAATTTGAATCAGGTGAATTTGAGTTAGAATTGGGATCGGACGAGTCCAGGTTTGAAATTGGAATTTTCTCAGAAGATACTTTTGTAACATCTCGCGCTGAGGCAAAGTAAAGCATTGTAATAGTTTGCTATTGTGATCATCATTAAACAGAGTCATTGAATATTTGTAATATAAAAAACTATAACGAGAGTCATTGTATACTTTGCATGAAAATATATCCGTTACCTTTTCGTTGGTGGACATCTTTCTATTAGATAAAAACAGTTAGTAGCATGATAAACACATTTAATTAATAAAATTAATCATGAGGTTTGTAATTTGGTTTTTTTTGTCAAAATGCGGACAAATAACGATGAATTTGAACAATGGGCGCCATTACTATTTCTTAAAGCTGATGATGAGAATCAAAAAAATTCCAAACTTACAGAATATCAAGGATTAGTCGCTCAGAGACCGTATGCTTTGATCATTCTAAATCAACCAATATCTAGTGGGATGTTGGATTTGGTGTGGAATAATGGTATTATTCCCAGGGTCACGCTTGTATTGTTTATTTTTTGTCCCGTATTAATAATTATTGAAAAATTTGCAGCTAAATTAAGGATATGTGCGGATGGAGGCGCGAATCGATTGTACGATGCTGTTAAGGGAACTAAAAATGAGAACAGGTTCACATGTTTGATAAAAAAAATTGCTGTTTATCTTTGGTTGATATTTTTATCAAACTTTTATGTATTATTCTCAAGGTATATCCCTGCTTATATATGCGGAGATCTAGATTCTTTGCGTTGTGAAGTGAAAGAATTTTATGAGTCAAAAGTAAGAAATTTATTTTAATTGATCTATAATATTAGATGACGAATAACAATATTTTATCATTTTGAAGGGAACAAAAATCAGAGCACTTCCACAAGATCAAGATACAACTGATTTCCAAAAATGCATCGCTTTATTGTCGTCTCTCGAAAAACAAGGAGGATCGGCAGAGGTAAAATACAAGGGTAAATTATTTTGTATATTTCGAAAATAAAAATACATTCATCATTCTTTTTTAAGAATCAAGATATAATAGGGTATGGCGCATTAGGCGGAAGATTTGATCATGCAATGGCCAGTATCCATGTTTTACATCAACATGCCAAAGAGAAGAAACAACAACAAAGAATCTATTTATTGACCGATTATGATGTGACAATGTTACTTGACGAAGGCAAACATACTATTTTTTGTGATCCTTCGATTTTAGGACCTAATTGTGGTATACTACCCATTGGAATATCGCAGGCTGTGATCACTACGACCGGGTTAAAATGGGATCTGAGTAAGGGTTTTTAATTGTGTCTTTTGCGAATATTCTCATAATATTCTAAATTCAAAAATCAAAAATTCAATAGCTAAAGCAACCACTTCATTTGGTGACATGATAAGTACATCAAATCAATTCAAGGACGAAATGGTTACCATAGAAACAGATTCTCCCGTCGTTTGGACTGTAGAATTAAAAAGCCATGATAAATAGAAAATTGAGGGATAAATCATTATGAAAATATGATAATTGTAATCAACCAAATGATTAAAGTTTTTTGTTTTTTTGTTCAAAATGAGAATAAAAATATCGATTGACAATTTGTTGTAAACTCGATCTATGTATATGATCACAGTACTTTCATCAATCTGGTATTAGAGGCGATTATTAAGCGTTTTTTCATTCTGATCTTAAAAATTCTACGTTTTTCTATTAAATAAATATACGAATGAAGAATGGATCAATTAATCAATTAAATTGAATGAAATAAGATAAAAAAAATTCTAGGTACCACTTCTCCCTGTTTTCCTGCTTCCCATTTCGCAAATTTTAGTCCTTGTTCGTCACGACGTTGTGCAATCACGCGTTGTTCCTCCTTTAAAGCATTCCGAACTGCTCTTGCACATATCTGCGCGTATTGGAGATAACTTGTTATTTAGTGAAAAAATAAATAAAACATGAATTAATGATTATGAAAAATATTATGATAAATTGAAGGATTTCGTGATAAAAACGGTTGTATACCTGATGCCTGCGGTTTTCCAAGCGAAAGCCATTATTCCAGTTATTATCGGTATACAGATTTATGTTTTAAATTTTTTTACCTTTGATTAGAATAGGCTAGCACAAAAAACACGCTAGACATTTTGGAGATCGATTATTTGGCATTATTCCTACGCCGATTTGCCATTGTCCAACTTTTGTTATCCCACCGTCCAAGTTGAAATGGCGAAAATTTTGCTTATAAACTTGTTGCTTCTATGTGTACTGAGTCTTTTGACGTTTAATGCTCAAGGTAGCTTTGCTTTATACCTTGTTATTTGTCGCTTCCAGTACAATTTTCAGTCAAAATGACTCTATACCAAGAAATAAAACAAATCATGCTTATATTATTAGCAACAGCAAAAATTTCCTATCGACCAATAGTCTTATGGCATGGTATGGGAGACAGTTGTTGTAACCCAGAAAGCATGGGTAAAATCATAGAGCTATTGGAACAAACGCTTCCCGGTGTTTACGTGTATTCTATAATGGTGGGTGAAGACGAAAATGAGGATAAGAAATCGGGATTTTTCGGAAATGTCAATAATCAGGTATAGCAATAATAATAATAAAGATTGGTTTTTAATTTTCATATCATTCAAGCATGATATTAATTAGGTAGCTGAGGTTTGTGAAGTATTAAAGGCTGATAAGCAACTAAAATATGGATTCAATGCGATTGGATTTTCTCAGGTTAGTTGAATTTCTTTTTTTTTTACTTGTTTTGTTATTTGCATTATGATTTAAATAGTGTATGTATATTACTTCCTTTTAGGGTGGTCTGTTCCTCCGGTAATAACAGCTTATTCTGATGATGGATAATAATTTTATTATTCATTTATTTAGTAACTTGGATTTTTCATACTCTATAGCGCATATGTTCAGCGATGTAATGATCCACCCGTCCATAACTTGATTACATTTGGTTCACCACATCAAGGTATCGTCGTCAATTTCAGCTATAGTACAATCTCTTTTGATATTAAATTCTATATTTCCGGTGATGATTTAATTTTCCAGGAGTTTCTGATATTCCTGGATGCGAAATCAACGACGGTTTGTGTCAACTAATGCGCAACATAGCACGCCGGGGAGCATACTCCGGTTACGTACGCACTCGAGTAGTATCTGCGCAGTACTACAAAGACCCGACAAGACTAGACCTGTACAAGCAGCAAAACATATTTTTACCTGACATTAATAATGAATTGGAAGTCAAAAACGCGACATACAAAGAAAATCTAGCATCTTTGAATACCCTCGTTTTGATTCGATTTACGGAAGATGTTACATTGAAGCCAAGAGATAGTGCAGTATGTACAATAAGGACATCAATAGAAAATGTGAATACATATATTTAATTAATATGGGATGTTTTTACCATTAGTGGTTTTCATTTTATGATGAGGACGGTGAACTACAAGATCTTTATAATACGCCGTTATACATTGAAGATTGGATTGGTCTGAGACAATTAGACGAAGAGGAAAGGCTGGAGTTCAAAGAAGCAGAAGGGGCCCACGTGAGTTTGCTTTTTTATTATTATCAATATTTATATCTAAAAGATAACCAAGCTTTTATTCATAATAATTAGATGAAATTCGATTTGGATTTTTTTGTTGAAGAGGTCATTGAGCCTTATCTTCAAGATCCCTGGATTCCCCCCAAATCTGCTAAAATGCGCTTAATCAAGCAAGGTTCAAAGAAAGAAAAGTTTTTGCGAAATTTCAGAACTCGTTTAAATATACTTTTCAAGAGCTTTTTAGAGTTAATTGCAGGATAGGAAACGTAGGCTTTGTTAAACCCCCTTTACAAAAAATCTGTTGTGTAATGGTAATAAGGATGTAATTTATATTTTTTGTATTTTTATTGGATTTATTTAATATATGATGGTTAGTATACACGTTATCAGAATTTTGTCAAGTGTGTCATTTTGTGAAATTTTGCATCGGAGTTTTCGCAGCTTGCTATATACGAGATTATAACAATTATTAGTCATATGATGTCCGTCGTGATTAACGCAAAAAGCAAGAATTTATTAAATACAGCCAAATCGAAGGATCTCTTCTTAATCTCTCATCTATATATTTATTATATAAACGTTATTAAAAGTTGACAACAATTCAGATGGTTACATAAAATCCGACCAAAATTGACAAGAGAAGATTACGCATAGAATAATAATAACTTGCCCCTTTTCCCATTATTTACATCAGAATAAAGATGATGACGATGATTCTCGAATATTGAAATAATGATGGTGAAGATTCATCCCGTTAAATCGTTTATTGAATACAAAGTATTATGTACGAGTCACATCATGTTCAGAAAAAACATTCAGAAACTCTGCCTCTATTCTCTTTTTTTTTTAATCGATTTATTGTTCACCACTTAAATCCCTTCTTTCGCCCTTTCCTTCCGATCTTATTAGCCTTGCGGTTATGATTACGACGTGTCGATTTCCTGATAATATCGATATCCATGGCTGTATTTATTGTGTGTGTGTATATACAGTAGTATTATTATAGTATTATAAGAGTAATTATAATATTTATAGAAAATATCTTTTATATTTCACTTTTCGTAAAGAGGAAATTCTTCAACATCAATTAATGCATAAAGAAGTTCCAAAGGACTAAGAGCAGTGTTCGTCACAGATATCTCGTCTGGGTCTAATAGACCAAGAACGGAGTATAATAACGAACCTGTTAACTTTTTGTTTTTCTTTGAGGACGACGTTTTTTTCTTCGAATCGGTCATTTCAACTTCAATTAACGGAGACGAAGTTGAACTAGATTCGTTGTTGTTATTGATCAAAGCGTTTGCAACCGCCGCTGTTGTTGAAGTGTCTACGGTTTTGTCTAATGTTGAAGGTTGAGGAATTTGTTGTTGTTGTTGTTGCTCTTCTTCGGTATGCATATTCCCAGCTGCTGCGGCTTGTTTTGCCGCTAATCGTTTTAATCGTGCGTCCTCAACAGGGGCGAAAATAGCTTGACGTTTAATGGCACGAAAATGACGTTTCGATTTGCTACGAAGACCTTTTGCCATGTTTATAATTTGGAGTGAATAAAAATTTTGTGGGTTGAAATTACAATCGAAGTCGTTCTTTTTAATAGTTTTCAACGTACGTATGAAAGGTTCACTGTGTTTAGCAGGTAAAGAAACAAAAGTTACAAAATCGGAATTTTTGGAATAACATTTCATTTTTATAGATAAGTAAAATATTAGCTGCATGATAGCGTGATTGCGGAGAATAGTGGCTGCTGTGCCATAATTAGCATAATTAGATCACTCCACGATAAGAATCTAACGTGACGATAAAAATTTTCATTATCGCATTACCCAGCTTTTATTAGCGAGATACATAAACCAGATTTTGGTAAATTTCCACGTATAAAAGTACCACCTTGTCTTCACACGCTTCAACACCTTCTTCACCCGTTTCTACATCCTCTACTTTGACGGAAGAAAGGTCAACTCGCACGATGGCGGACGTGGTTAAAAAACCTAGATACAGAAGTACTTATCGATTATTTGCAGAGGCGAGATCTAAAACTAGATAATGATGATTTCAAAATCTTTCGTAAAGAAAAAATAGATGGTCCTGCCTTTATTGAAATGACTAAAGAAGAATTTTCGTGAAATTGGATTTGCCTTTGGTCCTTCCATTAAATTAGCAAAATTTGTTGAAGAGATATCAGAACAAAAATTAAGAGGTTTCTCGACATATAAAACGGTGGAAGAGTTAAAAGAAGTCTTAAGAAAATACAAGGTCAATGGAGAGGATATTACAAGTATCAAACAATTCAACCCGGGTATGTGGTATTTTTTCTTGGCAAAAACCGTTTCCCAAGGAAACGATCAAAATTCCAGACATGTAATAGCTTATTTTTCTGTTTATAGATTCCATAAAAATCGATGATAATGACAAAGACCTCGCCCAATGTATGAACGAAATTCTACTACGGTTAACGAACGTAAAATCAATGATAGAGGCCAATGAGGCGACACGTTGCGAATTTATTTCATCAATCTTGCACGCATCACAGGAAGGCTAACAAATAAAGAAATCAATATAGAGTTGCAGAGAGATATTTCGGGTGAAGAAGCATCCGGCAGAGTCGATTATGCAATAACTGGGATGGAAGATCTTTTGTGCATCACTGAGGGTAAACCACGAAATGTTAAGATAGGTTACCTCCAAAATATAAAACAACTCGAGAGTTCTTTCCACATGAACAAGAAGAAACGAACTGCGGATGAAGCATTTAGAGGATTACGACTATCTATATGGGATTGTGTCAACAGGTGCGGATTGGCATTTTATCATGTTCACTTTCGAAGGTATTTTTTGTACAAGCAATAGTGAATATCAGATAAATCTTACGAAAAAGGCACTTAAGAGAAATCATGAAAATTTGAGGGATGATATAAAACAGGTAATCAGTATAGTTGTAGGATTATTGAAAGATAGAGTAACCGCATGTGATGAACCTGAATCTAAAAAGCGACGTGTACAAGAAAAAATTACCAAAAAATAGTTTTCCGCTTCACATGTACATGTATAAAGACTTTTTGCCAACGTCAACATGATTGGCCGATTTAACTACGTCAGTTTTACTAATACATAGCGCATTGACAAAATCTGGTATGGGGTATAGATCAACGGTAAGGATTATATATTGATCATCTATACAAATATTCTAAGTTTGGATTTATATCGGAGCAGAGCTTTTTTTGCGAAATAAATACACTTTCCCTAAAAGATAAGATGTCTATACTAAATTAAATAAAAGAATAAGGATCGAAGGCGAGGCTATTACAAAAAGAAATTAATTGGGTTAGTTAGAAGATCGATTTATTGTTGGAATTCGTCCGTCATATCTTAGACTCTGGGCTTTTCCCATTATATTTTTTATCTTTCGCCACAGATTAACGTTCTGATTATTAACAAGAGCAAAGAATTATTGATCCAATTAACATATTTCACCCACGTAAAGTTCTGGCAGTTTCTAGCCCTTTACCCTCAGTCTATAAATAAATTCTGATCTGATTTTTTTGCTTCGCAGTTATAAAAAGGTCGAAGAATTCCTTGCTGTATCTTTTACCCTTTTCACGATAATAATTAATGAATTAAGGGAATAAAACATTTAACAAATATTAATAAATCTTATCCACGATAAATAAAAAAATTCATACACTCGAAACAATTTCTAATTTCTAGCAATTAAGGTTTGTTTTTTATTTGTTTATATGCTATGACACCACCCCACACTCGTGTATATATGCTAACAGACCAATTTCCGGTTATAGATGTCACTTGTTGTTTCAGGAATCGCTCCATTTTTGGACTTCGCCGGCTTATTGATGTTCGTAGAGAAAATCTCTATGCACTACTTGTCGGTGCCACGTTGTATTTTTCACGTACCACTAAGCAAGACATCGACACCAAGCATAATTCCGACCTTTCTACACGTGATACCATGTTTAATGAAATTCTTGCCAATCGTGATGCCCGACTCACCGCTGAACTTGCCAATCGTAATGCTAGACTTGATGAAATCGAACAAGTCCTTCAAACCTACCATAATAATTTCGGTAGAGTCGCAACGAAATTCGAATCAATTAATGGATCTATCTCAACGCTCCAAAACGAGATTATGCTGTCGTCCAGGCACGAAGTGAAATTTCTCCAGAAATAAGAATCGAACCCACCGAGGAAGTGGAACTCCAAGACAACGACTCATCCGACCAACAAAGTGATGAAAATCAATCCGAAGCTTCTTCTGGTTCCAGCCAACGATCATTTTCGGATATTACTTCGACAATCTGGAACCAATTTAAAAATTATTTTTGAAAGAATTATGACGGAGAGAGCGTGTTCTTTAGATGATATGTGTGGTATCGTAGCCGTTGATATTAATCGTGGGGTGGGAAAACTTAGTAGAGATATAATCAAAAATTATTATCGTAGAATTAATGATTTAAAAGGCAGTAAATTAGATCAAATAGGTGCTTGGATTGATAGCAAACCAGTTAATAGTGAGTGGCGGGAAAGGAACCGCCATTTTTGCTTTGCGAAGGGTCTAGGGGCCGGCAAATTCCTCCCTTAAATCCTGCTTCTCAATCATTTATATCATTAATTAGCCGGTCCCTTACTCTCAATATTACAAAAATAGCTTGATTAGTCAAGTTCGAAGGAATAAAGATATGATTTGACCTTTTAATTATTGTATGCGTGCTGAATAATTTTTCTTCGTTATCTTTGATTTCGCTGGAGATCGTGTTATATATTCAGAAAAACCGACATGGTAGTGGAACAGTCAACTGCCTATAATTCGTCCCCCCTTAATTCGGATTTTCGATAATCTGGACGGTTTATGCCGGACTCGTTTTTTTCATATCAGATTTCTTCCCCTTATTCGTCCGATAATTATGAAATCTCGATAATTCGGTTCGGACAGCTGTAAGTATAAATTAAGTATTGCAAAAGAAAACTTTAATTCGGCCATTGACAGATCATTCCCATATATGTAATATTGTAACTTCTCGTTAATTCGGATGCTTATTCAAATTTTCTTTCTTTAATTCGGATGCTTAATAAAATTCAGCCATCCATATTCCGAAAGTTTGATGAATACTGATAAAAAACATTCCAAACCCTATACACATCTAACTGCTGCAAAAAGCAGGAAATATGTAAATGTCACAGAGATAATCCTCATATATCCTATTGTAATCTGGACAAAGACTATGAAGTAGGAAAATCAACGATACAAGATATTATTTCTCAATCAGAAAAATGGTTAGCTATTGATATTAACAAGAGATCTACATAACACTTGAAAAATAAACTGCCGAAATGGCCAAACTTAGAACAAGCATTATGATTATGAATAATGACAATAATTGAAAACAATCTTTTACTCACTGGGAATATGATTATTACCAAAGCTCATATCTATGCAGAATATTTAGAAATAAAGAATTTTACAAGCACTGATGAATGATTATCTAAATATAAAAGATATTATAATTTGCATATCATTTCATAGCATGATGAATCAGCCAGTGTATCCCCCCCCCCCCCCCCCCCGGCCAAAATGTATTGAAAATGAAAGAATATGTTTCCATACTAAACTAGAACCATATAACTTAGATAATATATATAACACTGATAAGACTGAACTTCTTTGGATTATGGAATCTTCAAGAACTTTATCTGATTATCAAAGTAATAGTCATAAAAAAATAAAAGTAAAGTTTTTATCTTATTAGTAATAAATATTTCTGAAATAGATAAGTTACCATTAGTATTTATACATAAGTATCAAATGCTATTCTCTCTCTGTCATATCAATAAATCTTTACTTTTAGTATAATATTATTGGAATATTAAGATATATATCAAGTAAGTTTATTAATAATAAATGCATATATTATCAATATCAAGTATTAATTTAATTTTAAAATAGATATTAATATTTAATAGCTAGTTAAGATGATTTAATCAATAGATGAAGTGCATAAATCAACATATTATTCTTAGTTTATATAAACTAAAAATAACTTAGATTAGATTATAATAGTCTCAAATCATAAAATTTAAGTCATTTAAGTAATAGATTGATCATAAAAATCAAGTCTTTCAAGTAATAGATTAATTATAAAATTCAAGTTATTTGAGTAATAAGTTGATTATAAAATTCAAGTCACTTGATCAATAATATATTCTTAGGTATAACATATTGATTTCAAAATTCAAGTCATATATATAATTTCTTATTAGATAATATATAAATTATATTTTCTATATTATCTAAGTTAATAATCTTGATTGATTTTTATTATAATAAAATAATTAATTTATATTATATTACTCAGATTAGTCTTATCATAAGTTTGATAGATCAAATATATATTATTTAATATCATATATTAACTTAGTGATTCTGACTAATTTCTATTATAATAAAATAGCTAAAATAGATTATATTACTAAATTAGTCTTATCATGAATTTGATAATTAAGATATGATTATATTATTATTTTAGTCAGAGTATATACTATTAAATTCATTATATACATATTATCTAGATATATTATATATATATTATTTAATTATGTTATATATATAATATTTAGTTATATTATTAATTATTATCATCAAATATATATGTTAAATATAAAATATCCTACTTTATAAAGTATATTATATAAATATCATTAATAATACTATCAGATTATACTATCAAAAAATATTATTAAGTATATTATATAATTATTATTAAATATAAATCACATAATTATTATCAAGTATAATATCAGATATATTAAATATATATTATTAGATATATATTACATAATTATTATCAAGTATATTATATTTCTATTATTAAGTATACTATATATATACTATCAAATATATATCATATAATTATTATCAAATATATTATATATATATTATTAGGTATATTATTTATTATTAAAAAATTTTTGATGATAACTTTAATGATATCTTTAATAATAAATTTATTATTAAATTTTAGTTTTAAATTCTTTTTTATCTTGTTCTTATATACTATTATCAAAGTTACTAAAAATAAAATAAAATTCTAATAAAAATAAAACTTCTTATAATATATTTAATATATATATTATCAATATATATATATTTATAATATAATCTATACTTATAGTATATATATATAATATATATATAATATATATATATATGATATATTTATAATAAAAAAAAGCTGGAAAAGTTTGATTTTTTTTGATAATTTTAGTAACTTTGATGATAAATATCTAGAAAACTTTCTATAAATGCAAAATTATAAAATTTAATAAGAATTCTATTATCAATTTTTTTTCTTATCATCAATAAAAAATTTTTAATAATAGCTATATATACTAAAATAATACATATATATTTATTATATAAATTTTTAGTAATAATATTTTATATTTTGATACTTATTTATATATTTCTCATATATATTATATATAAAGAAAGTAATTTTATTATACTTTTTATAAAATATATATTAGAAGAACTTCTAATAATAATCATAATCTTCAGATCTATAATTATCTTATTTATAAACTTTTTTAGTTCTGAAAATATATACATAATAATAAAATATTATATATATAAGTATTATCTTTTTGATATAATTTTTTATCTCATAGTATAACTAGAGTTTTATACTAATTATTATAAGAAATTAATTTTTATTTTAAACTTTTTTTATATTATTATCATTTTAAATTTATGTATATATAAATATTTAAAATAGTAAGAATAACTGTATTTATAATAATTATTTATTTTTATAACTTTAAAAAATTATATGATTAATTATCTTCTCAATAAGATAATATATACAAGTTTTACTTCTAATAAAATATGATTATCTTCTTAATAAGATAATTTATGTGATTTTATTTCTAATAAAATTGCTTTCTTAATAGAGTAAAAAGAAAATAAGATAAGATATAAATAAAATATATATATTTATTAAAGAAAAATACTAATTAACTATTCTTAACTTAGTAACTAATTACTTTTATTAAACTTAATTATCCTTCTTGATTATTTTTTGACTCTTTATATAATATTTTCTTATTATATAAATTATAAATTATTTTTAATATAATATTTTATCTAATTTACTCAAAAACAAGTAGAATTTTAAAAAAATAATTACAAAAAATATTAAATATATGATAATTAAGAATTAAAATAATAAAATATTAAGATATTCAAAGCTAAAGCAAGAAAAGAAAGAAAAATTAATAATAATTAATTAGATAATTATTAATTTAATAAAACTATAAATTAAGTATGATATACATAACTAAATTAATAAAAGAATAAAACTAAATATAAGTAATAATATAAATTAAAAATAGAATTAATAATAAATTAAATTAATTAATATAAATTTCTTATTTATCTAATTTAATAATAATTGATAATTATTTTACTATGTATTATAGTTATGTTACATACTATATCATATTTATTATATTATATAAATAGATAATTAATTATAATATAGATAATATAAATTTATAAAAAAATATCTAATATTATTATATTTATCATAAATATCTAAAATTTCCAGAGTGAAACTTATTATTTCATAATAAAAAATCTTAATTATATATTAGTAAAATTAAAAATATCACTTTCTTGATCAGAATATTCAGAAAACTTGAAAAATTTCAAGTTAGAGATAGAAAAAGTAAATAATAGGATATTCTATTATCAAAAGATCAAAGCTTTTTCTTAATCACAAATTTCAGAAAGTAAAAAAGTAAGTAAAATATATTAATATAATAAAAAAGATTATTTATTAATTTATTTAAATTATAATATAATAATTATAAAAATTGATAATTATGAATTAATGATAACTATTAAATAGGCTTTAATTAATGAAAAAGATATATCTTTTATATTAATTGACATTAAAAAATATAATAAATATATAAATAATATTTCATATTATATTTTATATATTTATAATTATCTTATTGATAGTTAAAAAATTATAATAATAATTTCTAATATAAAAATTTTCTTTAGTATTTATATTTTTAATAATAAAAATATTAATATATTTGAGATTAAAATAAAAAATATTCTTTTTAATAAAAAAGATAAAATAGAAATTATAGATATGATCAATTTTTAAATAGAATATATAAAGTATTTCTAATTATTAGATATTATAAAAAATAAAAATCTTATATTTGTATTTATTATAACTAATATTAAGTAAAGATTAATTACTCTTGCAATTATTTTAAATTATAATTTAGAAATTAGAAATAAGTATAAACTAAAAATTATTTCAAATAATTTGAAAGCATATTACTAAAAAGTTACTTGAAAATATAAAATATTATTTTTTAGATGGGCTTTATTAACCAATTATGAATATATAAAATATAAAGTCTCTAACTCATATAATAATGGTAAGATATCTTATAGTACTTACTTTTTACTTTTTGAATATACTTTCTATATATCTATTAATAATTATTATTTTGTAGAGAATCCTATAGTACTATATAAGACTTATCTATCTTTACTTATTATTTATGATCAAGTACTAGTTCTTACCTGGAATATAAAAATATATTTAATACTTAGATTAGATCATA